TGAATGGTTCAACTTATATAAAATAGACTGTATCATCGTTCCACATTTGGCTAAGTGTAGATAAACTTTTACAGCCATCTGTTTATGAATTATGTCTACCATGATGATGGATGATACAATTGATATAGTTGATACAGGCTGTGTATTTGTGGATCCCTGCAGTTAAGAAACTTTCCCTGATATCTTTTATTCTGTCCTTTGTTCTAGAAACTTGTACTAAGTTTCTTAAGTCATTCTAACTCATACAGACGAGAAGTCTTTTCCAGGAAAAAAAAATGTTTTCTTATTGGCCAACACAATAAAAATACAAACAGTAGCTCCATTGTTTTATTTGCAGCTGTTCAAATTCACGCAAAAGCTATTCTTAAAATAGTTGTTGATTCACTGGACTGAGATTTTGCTTTAGGATAATCTACTGCATTAGTTGTTTATAATTTGATTAACTGATGTTTTTAAATTTGTAACTGGATTTGTATTTTACATTCTAATGTTCTGCAAAAGGGTGCACCTCAGTGTTATATATCAGTCCTTTTACCCTAGAATCTTGCAATGGCTTTGAGCTAAGCACAAAAGAATGAAGTGTTAATTTACTACACTATAACCAATTCAAAGGCTCATACAGAACTTTTGCTACAGAAACTTCCAATTATCCAGACTGGGTACCATTCAGATTTGCCACCTGACTTATGGCCATGGAGTGGCTCAGATTCCACCACAAAAAGGTGATTCAGAGTGTGCAACACCACTTTTCAAAATGTGAGAGTGGCAACTCCTTTTCAGTCTAAAATTTTTTCCAAGAAAGGAGGGTGAGCATTCCATGTTAAAAAAATACACGTAACCTATATGTAGCCTTCCAAATCTGAACAAACTGTGGATCTGTCCCCAGAAGATGTTTGTGGTTATTTTTCATAATCTATCAAATACATTTGGCCCAAATAAGTCTTATAACATACTCCTGAGTCCCTGGTAATTAAAAATCTTTCAACATCTTCACCTTCAACTCACATTCACAGAAGCTTTAGAGTAGTGCATGGCGTTATCAACAGGATATTAAAGTTCTACGGCTAGTTTACATTTTGTTTTCACTTTAAATTCTGATTTAGAGAGAGTGCAATTTATAATGATCAGCTCTCTGTGGCTACATACAAGGAAGTCTCAAGTGGGGGATTTTTCAGTGGAAGTTCCCAGCTAACATCAGTCATTACCCAAACAAGATAGAGCTGTACTTCTAAGCTCCTATTGAGGAAACTTTCTGAGAGCAAAATAGGAATGGAAGCAGACTAAAAAGGTGCATTGCAAAATGACTTGAATAATCTGCAAAGCAAAGACTGCTGCTGCTGCTAAGATATGAAGTTAGAAGGTATGTACTCTGCATCAAATCTAAATACTAAAAAAGGGTGTGGATCTTATAATTCACTTTATATTTATGGCCTACTTCCTTTACATGCTTCAGTTTAAATAATTACAGTTGGGCTATCTGAGATTCTTCTGCCCTTTTATAATTTTATAAAAAATAAAAATATTAACACTGCAATTGGAATTACTGATAAAAATCTAGGACTGCTCTTCAACAAAATGCCCCCAAATAAAGCATCACAACTTATTAAAACAAAACAGAATGCCTGAATTAACCCACGTTTCTTTAAACTGTATTTCTGTTCATGAGGGCACCAATTCCTTCTCCTATCCAATGTATCTTCTATCTGCAATGCGAACTTCCTCTGCCTCTGTCTTAAAATGAAATTTCAAATCTTTACTAATCCTCCTAAGCACTCAGATTAATAGATTATTAATTTATTATTATTATTCAATCATTATTATGCTGGGCACAACAATGCGTCAACATTTTATAATGATGGCTTAGTTTGGAAAGGAAACTGTATTTCAGTGCTAACAACATCAGAATAAAAGCAGTAGGCCCAGCCCATTAGAAGCAGTACCATTTCATGTGGTACTCAAATTTGTTTCCTTAGAAAATTTTCCAGTATTAAATTATATGCATTATTCCCAGGTAAAGATTTATCCTAGCAGTCGCCCAAGGAAAATCATCTAACTTTTTTATTTTGCTACATGAATATCAAGAAGGACATGGGCAGGAACAGATAAAAAGAGCTAGAAAAAAAAAATAACCTCCATTCACCACTAATCTAAACTTGGGCATTACCCTTCCCTGAACAGAGGAACTTACTTCTTGAGTAGCCATGAAAAACTGTGGCAACAGGAATATCAGCAAAGACCAGGGAAGTTCTGTGAAAACAGCCAATCAGCTTTTTAAAAATGTATTCTAAATATTATTACCTCTTATGCAACAATTCTCCTGGTACTGAACAAGGTCTTAAGAAATATGATGAAACACATTAAAATAATGCAAGAATACATAAAATAGTTAATAAAACAATGGCTGTTAACTGGTTCAGCTATGCCATCATGAGCTCTCAAATGCTGGGGGTAAATAAACGGATTTTCATTTCACAGCAATTGCTATTCAACCATAGCAAAAGTTGGCATATGCTCAATTTCTAAGCAGAGGGTGTTTCAAAGAATGATACAATAGAAAAGTTCTTCCACGCTGATATAAAGCGAATGTCTAAAGGAAGTGGAACAATCAGGTGGGCCTTTAATTATCCCAATGAATAGGTGAATATGGTTTCTCTATCCATACAGAATGAAGTCTCCCACCCATTAATTTGGACAATATCCATTCAGATTCACCTATACAGTTTTGTGTTTAAGGTAGGGTAACTGCACAAGAAAAGCCTCATCTAGAAGTATCCCGTGCTGGTAGGGGGTGGCATTGAAAGTTCTCTCTCTTCTCTATGTGTGCTACAGTCTAAGTGCCTAAATTAAATGCAGATATGCTGTTCACATAATCTGCTGGTCACTTTTTTCACAATAGACCTATTACCTAAATAGAGTTAGTTCATACATGATAGTTCTTTTAATTATTCCAGGCTATAGGTTTAGTGCTTTTAACATTTGTACAATACCTTGCAATAATATATGTAATCATTATATAAATGCATAATTATATATAATCTATCCGGCATCTCAGCTCTGTGATAACACACCAAGGTTTCTTCCTTTTTTTGCAAAAATACCCATCTGCACACTTTGATAGGGGATAGTTTTTTTTCTCCTGTGGTAAGATTCTCTTCCTTATTAAGAATCTCTGCAAAATCTATATATGGTCTTGTTTGTTCTGATGGCATCAGCTGCAACCTCCTGTTTTCTGCAGCAGAACATGAGAAATGGGCTTAGATCACCAGAACAGGATTGTTCCACTTAGGCCACATAAGATCTGCAAATCAAGATGGGCTCGGCTGACCAATTTTGCCTTTGTGCTAAAGATTTTCTCTCTCTCAGCATTCTGTTGCAGCAAGCAAGGCAGGCTGCAAAGCCTATATGGAAGTGTGCTCCATTAAGCACAGCTACTTCCAAATGAATTTGTCTGTGCCCCATCTTGTTTTCCTCCTTCCTGCAAACACAATGTAACTAGCTTTACAGGGGATCAGAACCACTTTCACTTATCTTTTACATATCTGTTGCAGAAGCCAAATATTTAGCCACTAATATGATAAAATAAACTTATCATACAAAGCACAGTCCAAATGTTTAGTCTTTGTTACAATTAAAGTATAACAAGTAAGCCAGTATCAGACACCAGACTAGTTAATTAATGGAAAATACTGGAAATATCAGCAGTTATTGTCTCGTAAGTGTTCATCTATTGAACTGCATCTGCAAAACACATTGAATCATAAACTAGTCAGCCACATCTCAGTCTAGCATAATGTACAGCCCCTACACGTACCCCACCCCCACCCCATGGTTCAGTATACGTTCAATATCAACTTATGGTTCAATATGAGGTCCAAACCCAGAAATCTGGGATAAGTTAACAACAGATGCACGATACAAACACTACATCTTTCATAACCTGGCTGCAAATATTCCAAGAACTGCTCTGTGAGAGCAGACATACAGAAACGTCTACCCATTTGCTGCTATTTAGTGATCATCCAGATTTTTGTAGCCCAGATAGGGTAGGTGTAGCAAATAATCGTCAGGACAAGTACAGCTTCTATGTACACAAGGCTCTAGTTGTCCATTGTGGTGGACACTTCACAATAGCTTACTTTAGAAATGAATAGCTAGGCTGCCACAACAGCTCAGCCTGACCTGTCAACCAGGTCACTGCCCCCTCTGGCCCTTTGGATGTTGAACAAGACTGGGCTCTGCTCCTCCCAACCACCATACACGACTGGATGATAAAGCAGCATCTCAGTTGAAGTGAAATGCGTTGGCCTTCCGGAATACAATAACCGTGTTGTGTTGTGTTGTGTTTTCTTCCAGGGTAGGGGTTGGTATAGCCTAGGGGACCATTGGAGGATTTCCGGGTGGCCTTCCGACCTTGTATTCTGAGAGCGGCCAAAGGGGATACGAGCTTCTCTCGTGAGGGAAACGGAGAAGGCAGCGGCGAGGAGGAGCGCAGGCCGACGACCTTCCTGTTGTCAGCATCTTCCCCTCGCTAGGCGGTGCAGCGGCTGGGACTGGGCGCAGCAGCCCAATTCTCCCGGCTGCGTTACGTGCCAGGGAAGCGGGCGGGCTACCACGGGCAGGAGTTAGACCTGCCGTCATCTTCCCTCGCTCCCCGCTCGCCCAAGCCTGGGAGGCAGCAGCCCCCGCCGCCCCCTTCTCTCCGGGCGGTGTGCCGGGCGGGAAAAGACCCCCTGCACCGCGCTGCCCGGATGGGGCAAGACGGCGAGAGAGTGAAAGCTGCGAGGACAACCCACTGGCCTCTGTCTCCGACTAGGACAGGCAGGAGGAGCCCGTCCGGGAAACCAAGAAGGCCCGGGGGGGGCCAGCAAGGCGGAGGTCCGCGCCCCCGCTGAGCCAGCCCAGCTGCCGAGCGCTGGCCGGGCTTCACGCGGCTGAACACAT